CAAAACCAAATTCACAACCATACCTGGGGAAGCATTGAAGAGGGATCTGTTGCTTTTCCTTGTGCAGTAGAATGGGGGATCACAATCTTTCCAAGATGGGTCTACTATGAATAGTTCAATATTAAGGACAGTGTTTTAAAAGCGCAAGGCACAAAAAAGGCACAGGAGTCAATTTGCACTAAGGCGCAAGGCGAGGCGCGTGCCTTTTTAAGCAAGACACAAAAAATAAAAAATAAAGCTAAAAAATCAAAAATAATTGCGAAAAATGCAAAAAAAATATATATATATTAAACATAATATTAATAAAAATATAGACTTAAATTTTAAAATAAATGTTTTAAAAACTTATAATCTAAAATTAAAATACATAAATATAGCATGTAAAGCATATTCAAATGAAAACTTAAAAATAAAATCAAATATATAAAACATTTTCAAGCATATAAAACCAACAATCTCATTTTTCCTTAGTTGCATTACTTCAAGTAGCTAATGTGATGTAAAACATACTACACTCCTGATTCTACAAGCCGCCTTTGTACCACGCCCCTCGAGGCAAGCCCAAACAAGTCCATGTTAGGTCTTAAATTCTTAGTTCTCACACAAAAAATAATGATTTTATAGTTTTAATTGTTTTTTAAGAAGATATTTTATTAGGATGAATGAATGAACAACATTACCAAATAGGGGGTCCGGGGACATGGCACGGGGGTCTGGGGGCCCAGTCGCTAGACACAAAAAAAAGCAAAAAAGCGTCAAATTTTCAAAAAGCACATGCCTGGGCTGAGGCGCAAGGCGCACAAGGCGTGCACCTTTTGAGAGGGCTGCACCTAGGATCTGGGCAAGGCGCCTACCCTAAAATGCGCCTCGCCTGTGCGCCTAGGCATGCCTCAGGCGCGCCTTTTAAATCACTGATTAAGGATGCACATTGTGACCTGCTTCCAATACTTTGTAACTCACCCTTTTCTGGATTGTTCTCATTGAGCCTTAGTAACCCTCTACAACCTCCTTATAGACCCCGCAAAGAGTTTCTATCCATAATTAGTTCTTCTAAGTGGGCCTCCCCAACAACCAAAGCATCCTCAACCTTGTTCGAGTCACGTCCAACTAACACAAAACTCCAAATAGGGATTGTTCCCACTATCTTTGTTTCACCATCAAACAGTTCAGAAATATGAAAGTTTTCTTCCAAATCTTTCGCCCCTTCATTTGTTCCCAAGCCGCCCATCAACGACACTGTATCAAACCTAGAGTCTTCCTCATCTGACAAGTCACAATCAACCCATCCTCCATCCACCAACTTTTTCTCCTCTGAACTAGCCTTGGTCTATCTTGGATTAGGGCAATCCTCTTCTGATCTACCAGGGCCCTTCTCTCCTGTTTCCCTTGGAATAAATTGCATGGCTTGTTTCAACCCAGATTTAGCATCAGGGTTCCTTGTAGCATGTAATGATGATGACGATAGACCTAAACTATCATCCCCAGACCATCCTTTGCACCCACAACTCATGCAACTATTTAATGAGTCACATCACATGAGCCTAAGGCATTTGATTTATATCAACCAGCCATGTTCTAGGCATGCCCCAAAACCGGTTCGAAAAGAGCCACTGGTTGAGTCTTCAAAGGTCCCTTTGGCCCCCACCCTAGGTCTAACCAAGCGTTAAGTTTCACCACCTCCACAAAGGTCTAACCAAGCTCCAAGCAAGCCATAAGATTGGCTTGCTTCTCCAGGTTCCCATCCTAAGTTTCTTACACCATACTTGGCTTGAATAGTTTCCCTCCACAAACCTCCACTTTGCTCACTAAACCTCCAAAAGCATTTTTCCAATAATGCTAATTTAATTCCTTCACTCTTCTCATCCCCAAACACCCAACTTTTTTGGTCTACATACTTTTCCCCGACTTACTAGGTGATAATTCTTCTCTTTCTTCCAGCCCATGCATTTCTAACAACCATGCCTTCAACTGCTCAACAAACCCCAATTCTTCAAGCCACAAACTTTCAAATGTAAATGGGAATGGCTTGGAAGGAATTCCACCACCATCTAAACAAATTGGTGCATGATCTGAAAGGGACCATGGTAAAAACTGCAAAGATACTTGAGAAAACTTCTCTTCCCAGTCGTTGACACCACAAACCTATCTAGTTTTACCAATAGTAGCCTCCTCCTGTTTGTTAGTCCATGTGTATTTGGCCCCTAATAAGGGAAGATCAACCACCTCCCACCTCCTTGTAAATTCAGCAAATCAAATCATCTCATTACTCTACTACTACTTGCTCCCCTTTTTCTCGTATGTAAACCTTACATCATTAATTTTTTTATAGATAACATCATTAAAATTTCCCCCCACCACCCATGGATTTTCCATCTCTCTCTAAGCCCATCCAGTTATGCTCAAAACAGATCCCTTAACCTATTTTCATTTTGTCCATAGACAACAGCCAACACCCATTCCCACCCATACCCCAATTGTTTGAACAATATTAATACAAAGAACTGCCCAATCTCCTTGTCCTTTAACTCCATTATGCTAGTGACCCAAATTACAACAAATGCCACCTGCAGTACCTCTAGCTAGTACATATTCCCATTGGCAATCTCTCCCCCATGCACTTCTAACAATAGATGCTTCAATCACCTTTATCTTAGTTTTTAGTTTCCTAAAAACATAAGACAGCCAAATCCCACTTCTCTATGCATAAACTGGATACCACCCTCCTTCCCGAGTTCAAACCCCTTATATTCCACCATACTATTTTCATTCTTTTGCTTTAGTGTTTCACCCCTCTGAAACAACCCCGGTCCTTCTACCACTTTCCCTCCCGGTGTTACAAGCCCAGCTCTATCATCCAATCCTCAAGACAGCAGAAATAAATCCCTTTCTGCACTCCTCCCTTTCTTTCCTCCCTCCTCAATGACCTCCTTTCAATCTTCATGAGGGAGGCCTTTGTCTCCTCCATACCTTTGAGGGACGCCTCTAGAAATTCACCAAAATTGATCATTTTACACATGACCCAAGATGGTTCAACTCAAGGTTCAAAATATCAATATGCTGGTAGAGGCGTATCGGGCAGTATCGGTAGTTTTTTAAGTTTTTTTTCAAATCCGGTTCAAAGGGGCCGGTTTAAGGTCCGTACACCCCCTGAACCGGTCAAAATCCCTATACACCCTCTGTAAGAGCGTATCGGGAAGCTCCCGATACGATACATATCGTCCGATACAGGCCAATACATATATTTTGAACCTTGGTTCAACTGATGCTTCCCTATTATAATTCATCATTGTGAGATTCCCCTATCTTTTGTTACAGTGGCAATCCCTCCTCAGTTGTGTACCTATTAGTGGCCAATCTCCAGTTGGCACCACTGCTAGAGGTGCTACCTCAAGCTCTTCACCTTACACAATCGCCAGCTCTTCCACAGCTTGCTCCTGTAACTCCAGTGTCAATTCCATCTCTCCATTGTATTTAACTCCACCCTTTCCCACCCCCTCATTATTTGCCATACCTTGCTCCATCTTCCTGTTCTTCACAGCATCATTTGAGATTGACCACTAGTTTCCTTGTTTTGTTGCACCCCTCTCTTCATTTTCCCCTGTTACTATGAGCATCTTGAACCCTGTTACCATGAGCATCCTCAAGCTCACAAGGGTCTTCACTTTACTTGGCTAAGCCTCCAAAAAGTATCACTTAAAATAATACTACCACAGAAATGGCTTGCACTATAATTTTGGTCATGTACTTATTTCACATTGACAGAATGGAAATTTATGATTTTACTCTACATAGGAAAGATTCTTATATTCACACTTTGTTCAGATTTGTATTACATAAATAAGTGCTGTATAATATGAAAAAACAAGCATTAGAAAAGATTCTTGCATTCACACTTTGTTCAGATCAGTGTTTTAAAAGGCATGGGAGGCACTCCCAAAATGCCCTGAGACGTATGCCAGAGGCGCTGACACCTCTGAGGCATACGCCTCATGCGCTTTTTTCATGAGGTGTGCTAGAGGTGTACGCCTCATGCACATCTGATATAAAAAGACAGAAAAAAAATAAAAAAGAAGAAAAAGGAAAGGAAAGGAAAAGAAAGGAAAAGAAAGGGAAGGGAAAGAAAAAGAAAGAGAAAAAAAAAAGAGAAAAGGAATGGAAAGGGAAGAAAAGATAAGGGGAAAGAAAAAATGAGATCCCCCCTTTCAACTAATGTTATGCATCTTTATTCTTCTTAATATAAAAGATTTTTATTAAAAATAAAGAAAAAATGAGATCCCCCTTCCTCTTCATCCTCCTCCTAACCCCCCTCCTCTTAAGGAGGCTTACGCCTCTTGCGTTCCGCCTCACGCCTCTAGGTAGTGGAACGCCTCGCATCACGCCTCCGCATTTTAAAACATTGGTTCAGATTTGTATAGTATAAATTAGTGTTGTATATAATATGAAAAAACAAGCATAAACAGTCAGACAATGAATCTAGGAACAAGAAGTTGATCTACATTGTCATGATGAAGCATGATGCACACATTTTTACTTGATTCAGTGTTACCAATTCCTTTCCCCCAAAAGCTCTTGCATGATCTAACTAATAACCTAAAAGTATACTTTTCAGTATAACAATATCAAATATGGGAACTAACTATTGACTCAACCTCCAAACTCCCTAATAAGATCAAAATCCAAGTACAATTAGAATAATTTAGGAAAGACATGTACAATCAAAAGATAAAAGATATTAAGGAATTGTTCAATAACAGCACAAGTTGCTGAAATGAAAGACTTATTACTTTGTTTTTAGTTGTTAAAAGAATTAGATAATACAATTTTCAAGGGTATAGTGAGTTACCCAACTTCAGTTTCAGTCATCAAGGACCCCTCAACCTCCTTATAAACTTAAGCAATAAGCTTTTCAGTTTAGCATCTTCAGGTGTTATCAAACAGCCCCTGAATATTGTACAGCACATCTACAAGGTGAAAAAAGGAAAAAAAAAATGGCAACTCACTTGAAGCAAAGGCCAAGAGCCTCTTCACCATCCTCAAATATGCGTTTAAATGAGTCTCTAAATACAGGATGACCAAAACTTTCAGATAGAACAATGAGCCCGCCAGTTCTTTCAATGGCAACTTTCATTTCTGCAATCCCAACCTGAAAATTCATCATAGAATGAAGGAAAAACATGATTCTGCATCACATCCATGGAATGAAATTATATTTACTAAACAAAACTAATAATCTTGCTTTGTTAAATAAATATTTTTCCACGAAAAAAAAAACATAAAGCAAAAAGACGTTTAAAACAATTAAAAACAAGGAACCTGCAGGCTTATTGTTTCTTATAAGCTCCTAAAGTACAAAGCTTAACTGCACTTTCCAGTGAAATCTGTTAGTAGCCAATGTATAACTCTATTCAGTATCTCAGATCTTTCTCTGTGAAATCTGTTTATTTTTTCTTTTGGATAAGCAACAGCAAAAGTTTTCAAACTATTTTTTCCATGTTTAACCCTAATTTGGCTAATGCATCAGCTTGTGAATTCGCTGATCTAGGAACCCATCTGAATGAGTTAGTCAGGTTGTGTCCCATAGCCTGCACTTGTCTGATCAGGGTTCCATATCTCCAGGGAATTTCATCCTCATGTCTTATCCAGCTAAAAATGACTTGGTAGTTTCCTATTATGATTTCTGTACACCCATGTGATGCTGCAAGTTTCTCTGTGAAATCTGTTCCCCCATTCTAGCTATATTTCTGATGCTAGTGCATTCCCAGGGAAAAAAAAAAACCTTGGTTCTCAAACTGTGCTCTTAGATTTTTTTCTTTTTCTTCATTTTCTTATTAGCATGGGAAGTGGGGCTTTTTTCTGATCAATCTGGGAAGTGGGGTGTGAAGAAATTAATTCATTTAATTCACTGTAAATGAAGTAGAGGGGGCAATCCTACATCACTTCGCACATTTACAACGAGTGCCTTGGAGAAGGAGAAACTATTGGTCATCTCTTTATATAAATTAGAAAATTATGGCATTTCTTGGAGCTTGTTGGGCCTGAACAGGTCACTCCTCAAGGTAGTTCTCAGACAGATACAATATCAAGGAGGCGGTCTGATACAGGAGTAAATAAGTCAAAACTGGAATTTTCTAAGTGTTTTATGTATTTTTGTATTTCTAGACAGTACAGGCGTTTTTGTCATCTAACATATTTTCTAAGAACTAGGAGCAAAAAAGGGCATGGATTGTAGTAAGAAATTATTTAAAGGTCCATGATCCATGATTGGCAGGTACCTTGGTCATATTACATACTGTTTGTGACGTCAAGCCTAAAAGATTTGATTTTTCTAGTCATAAACTTGGTTGTGTTTAAAATTTCAGTCATTGGTTAAATACCTTAGATGGATAATGCATCCTTTGATTCCAAGACTTGAAGCATCCAAACTCCAGTGGGGAGTAGTGAGCCAGATAAAAGTTAGTGGAAAGAATGTGCTGATGGTTTTTTTTATTTTGAGAGAAGAAAGTAACGTGCTGATGTTTTTTTTTATTATCAGCAACAGGAAAAATCAATTTATAAATATAAACAGGAATTATACAATTTTACACGTTGAAAGCATAGCCATGCCATTCCTCCCTGAAAACATACATAAGATCATAAATTTTCCCAAAATGATCAACCCCTATGCACCCCTTGTTTAGCTAAAGTATCAGCTTCATTGTTAACAGATCTTGAAACCAATTGAATTTTCACCTGCATATTTCCTATCATCCATGCAAGTTTCTTCAATTCATCTCCATATTTCAAAGAGCTTTTTCCCCATTTTTTAGCCAACTAATTATCACTTTACTGTCTCCTTCAATTACAAGCTTCCCAATGTTCAACTCACTAGCCTGCTGAACCCCTTGTAAGATTGCCATCAGTTCAATTCAACCCTCTTAGAATCTCCAAAACCAATTGGACCCAATCACCCAAGTATATTGCTCTCACCCTCCCATCTCATCCTAATAACTCCTACCCCTGAAGGTCACAGGTTCCCCAAGCTACTTCCATAAAAGTTCAGCTTCCAAAAACTTTTCTCTGAGGGTTCCCAATTATCTCCCTTCAATAAAGTGCTGATGGTAAATTCATGGTCAAATCTTTGTATGGTAGACTGATAAGAAACTTGGGTGAAAGAGAAAATATTAATAGGGTATGGAGCATTCCCTTTGCTCCATGATATGGGGCTTTGACAGTACCCTTGCATTTATAAATCAAATAGGAGAAAATTAAGAGACTTTAATAACTCTCATTGTCTCCCTTTTAGTCTTTTAGCCATCTCCTCTTCATTTAATATGTCAATTACTTGCCATATTTAATATCAACTTCAAAGTTTTTGTGTTTTCGCTACCTTGAAAAGCTGACCAACATGAGAAGATTTCTTTGAAATACAAGGGGCCATGTTAACTCTAAACAGCCAAAAGAAAAGCCCCATGGAAAGTTAGTATACAAGAACCCAAAGCAAAGATGAAAGACATCTTCCTCATGATCTTCATATAAATAGCACCTGTTAACAAGCTAAAAACCTATACTTTTTAAATACAAGAGACCCACATGTTAATCCTAAACAGACAAAATAAGAAGCTCCATGGTAACTTGGTATATAAAAGCACCCAAAGCAAATATGAAAGATATCCTCCTCATGATCTTCACATAACAACACCTGTTAGCAAGCTAAAAGCCTCTACATTTTAAATGACCTATGTGAGAATACTGTCCAAGGCCACTAACCACACAAAAGCTTCAACTCTTGGAGGAATTGGATTGCCCCAAGCCTTGCACTTTTTTCCCAATCATTTTGTCTACATTCAAATCCCTAAGCATACCCAACACAACATCCTTAACGATATACCGACATGATCTGAAGAATGCTAAATTAAATCCATCTGGACCTGATGCTTTATCTCTATTCATAGACTTAACAACCTCCTCTTCCTCAAAATCACTTTCCAACTGCATCTTCATTGAGCCATCAATCCTGTCCAATTCTATCTCCCCTAGGACTATGAGGCAAATTCTCCTTTCTGATGCCTTCGTAAAAAAAAACTGCAAACCCCCTCCCCAATCTTCTTTTGATTATCCACCACTCCTATCTAATGCTACAATTTCTACTTTGTCTTGCCCTAGCAGTAGCATGGGAAAAAAACAAAAGATATGTTCCATTACCAACAGAGAAAGCTTTTGCATCAAATTAATGACAGAATAGATGAGCAAAGAAGAAGAGAAGGTTTTAGAGCAATTAGACAAAGCCTGTCATCCATCAAAAGATCTTGAAGGTGAAAGGGTAATGTACAAGAAACCAAGATTGAAGAAGGAGAAGAGACTTGGCTATCACCCTCATGATTTTCCACCAATATTTCTATAATGAGATGTCACCATTGTTAAAGATTTGTATTCCAAATTACAACCTTTTGATATAGACATGTCTGAACCTCATTAGGATGAAATTAGTAAATGATTGATGAACCAGAAGAAATGATTGATCAAACAAAGAGAAGAAATTAGTAAATGAAAATAACACCTCAATGCATGGAGATTAATAAGGTAAAAATGGCTCTTCTTATCTAGATGAAGTTTCCATAGCATGATTTAACAGAGCTGATGAAGTCAATGTAAACCTTTCTGTTCTAATTACAGGATTAATTGTCTATACTTGATGGCTGAGCAGACAAGGATGCATGTTTTGGATTTAATGCAAGAAAATTGAAGGATAAAGCTAAAGACCACAAATATTTAAGTTATCTTGTCCAATGCACCCATCAAGAAGAATCCAGTACATGAGCCAAATCTTGGGAAAAACTTTTCTTTATTAATTAAGAAATAGCTGACCAAGTCATCCATAAGAGAAGGGTATTTTCCTTTGCACCAGGAGAAAATGAGGCTGGAGAATCTTTCTATGTTCTACTGGTCTGAAGTAGAACTGAGAACAACTGATAATAAAAAGCTTCTCTATGCTGAATTCTAATTTGCATGAGCTTTTCTGGCAGGACTACATTTTTTAAACCTAGAAAGTCCTTAAAGTCTTTAAAGATGATTGTTGATGCCTTAGCAAAATTATAGATGGATGTTTTCAGTTAAAAGTCTAGTTTCATAAGGTCATTTGAGAATTTAAAGTGTTTCAAACCCTTTCATTTTTTTTGAGAAAAAACCTGGCATATGTATGCATTAAGAGTCCTGAGGAATCTTTAAAAATCAATCTAACTTCAAACTTGAATGTTGATGTAAGTCAAGACTCAAGAGTGGTGTCCATCGATTTGTCTAATACAATGCACATTTTCTTTTCTAATTTATTTGTCCCCCGTCCAAAGAACAGAAAGTCACTGTGCTTTCTTAAAACTTCACACAACTTTTCAAACTGCCATGCATCATAAAAACCACCTCACCTCATTTATATATCAATCTTGATAGCCTTACTTCGTCTATTCTATTTTTGGTCTTATACTTCTCAATTGCATGAAATTTGACTCCAGTTCATACCACTGTGAATGAATCAAAGAGCAAATATGTCAAGGAAAAAATGAATACGCAAATAAAACAGATACCGCCTATAGTTCTTTCTTCTGACATCAAAAATAAAAAACAATTGATTATATTCAAGTTCATGCCATCCTTCACAAACTTAATGATTTGCAGTACCCATATTCACAAACAAACTTCATGATAGACTGTAATTCATAACATATGGTGTTCTAATTCTAGTTCAATTAATATGAAGGGAAAATAGGGATTATATGCTGTTTTTCGACCATGTAAATTGCTTTAATTTCAATTGTTTCTTTATTGGTCTTTAATTTCAACTGAAGATCGATAGAGATATGGATTCCTTTTATTTACATGAACATTTGCACAGAAACTAAAGACAACATATCATAGGAAGCCAACTTGGAGGAGGAAAAAGGACTGGTCCAAACCTGATCAAGTGCAGAAGCAAACAGATCTAAAACATGGCCCTGGCTAACAAGCTGCTTGGAAAGACTTTCATAAAAGTTCACAGCTTTATGAAAATGTGGTGCTGCATCTTTATCAAGATCTTTATGAGAACGCACTGGTTCAGATAAATCTTTTGATACAATCTGTAAATAACACATCAACATCCAAAATACTTTTCATAACTAAAAGTGAAGAAAAAGGTCTGATGAGAAGCAAGCAACCTAGAAGAATAAAGAAGTAATTCAATTATCAAAAATAAAAAAAGAAGTAATTCAACAATTTGATGAATACAATCATACGTTTCAGTTCAGAACAGACTTTCTATTAGAGGAAAAATTCTATCAGATATCAGAAAAATAATTCAAGAATTTGCTGAATTAGCTGTCTAATCTGTTAGATGAAACCTATTTAACAGTCGATCTAGATCCTCTGTAAATGAGAGACAGGGAAATAGGGAGAATGCACCTAATAACTTTCATAATGAGGGCACCTACATTATAGCACAGCTCTTTTTTATCTTTTTTTAACATCATACAGCTCTTGAATATGTCAGTAGTTTAAGGTCATCAGAAATTTCCTAACTGTATTAGAAAGTAATGAATGGTGGGTGTATCAAAGCAACCTTAGCTTACCATATTGAGATAGGCAAGACCAAGGAAATCATCTTTCCTGTTTTTTTTACAGGCTTCGGTTTTTCTTCATTGAAAAATATGTATGGAACATGATTTTCAATCACTTTTTATATGAAAGATACATTAAATGGAGAAGCTAAAGGTTGCAATATTAAGTAAAAAATGAACAAAGATAAGGAATAGCAACATTCTTTCCTTGTACTCAGGACCAGTGGGAGCTGGAGATTCTACAAGGGCAGAGATAGTAGCAGCAGTACTAGGAATACAGCTTGCCAACCAACTCAGAGTGGAGAATTTGGTATTGAGGGAGACTCAAAGGTGGTTGTGGGTTGGTTGGCAAACCTAGATACTGTTAATTGGGATTATAGGGATATCCTAAGAAGAGTTCATTGGCTTACAAGAAACATGTCAGTTAATTTTCAGTGGGTTAGCAGATCAGCAAATGTTTTGGCTGATTCTCTTGCTAAAGAAGGGGTCTCAAGGGTTTCTTTGTACTGGGCTACTTTGTAAACTGATTTCTGTTTAGTGTGAGTGCTTCGCTTTCATCCTTAAAGAGGAGGTCACATCTCGTGCCTCTTCTTAGGCTGTTTGTATGCTCACTGTTTCTCTATTAATAACAACTTCATTCATTTATCAAAAAAAATGAACAAAGATCAAATATTAAATACTTAAGGTCAAAGTAATAATTGTATAGTATCTATTGTTGACAATATATGATGTATAGTTACTATAGTTTCAATTTTACAAACCAATGGATTATCCATTTACTAAAAACAATTTACAAACCAACACATCATCACTCAAGTTAAACTTAATAGCAATCTAACATCATTTTACGCTAGAATTAGAGATTTTTGTCATAATATAAATTCAAGATCAAGCAGAGAAATTCTTAGCTTGGAGTTGAAAAAAAAAATTATATTCCAATCAATTGGAACATCACTTAAGTGGTGAAAGAAATTTATTTGGTAAAAGATCCTAAGAAGAGTGAAAATTCTTACCGCACCCGGGCCTTCAGTGCATGGGCCACCCACCAGAGCTATAATGCGAACACCGGTGCCAGGTGAGCACGCCCCCAATAGACCTGCTGCAACACTTAGAGCTACACCCGTGCACCGCAACGCCCTATTACCAGGTTGAACCGGCCATTGATCCGTTTGCAATTCATCTAATAGCTGACATTTTGATCAGAAATTAAAAAATTAAATTTTAATAAATCCAGTAGACAGATCAATCTTCACTGAAAACAAATTCCGAATCCTCCCAGATCTCCAACAACAAAAACCTCCGCCCGGCAAAGAACATAGTTATAAATCTAAAATAGCAAGCAGATCAAAACAAAACAAAACAAGCAAATTGAATGACAACCAAAACTAACCATGTCAAGAGTATATTCGCATTCTGAAGCGGGAAGCAGAAATCGATTAACTACGCTGGAATTGGGCACTCCATTCTGAACGGCCTTCGGATACCCAGGGGCAGCCCTGTGCGCCGAAGCACCAAGGCCCAGATGATCCAAAACTTGTTCCTTGGAGATTTCCTTGCTACCACGGAAGATGTAAACCTTGGAAAGATCCGAGAACCCAAGTTCGTGAACCTGGACCTGAGTCCCGAACGAAATGAACCCAATGAGGGCGTTCTCGGGCAACAACCCAAGTGCCTGCTTGAGCGCGGATTTCACGAATCCTATCTCCTCCTCGATGACGCTGGTGTCGAGAACGAAGAGGAAAACCGGTGGCAGTGGCTGGGCTGCAGGCGCGGCGGGGTTGCCGGAGACGGTGTACTCGACGGTGGTGTATTGAGGGTAGAGCTCGGCAGGCACATTGGACTCAGAGATCATGGAGTAATGGGGAGGGAAATGGTTGCGCTGGAAGCAAAAGGGACAGATCCAGATTTTGGCGTTGAAGTCGACGCGGCAGTAGGGATTGAGGACGCCGGCGCAGGTCTTGCATCGGAGAGGGAGGTAAGGGAGGGGAGGGATGTCGGGGTGGGACCGGATCGGAGTGATCGCAGCGGCGATCGGGATCACGCACTTGCTCGCTTCCACCTTCGTTCTCGGCCACACATTCCATGTCATTCGTACTCCATCGATTCCCTCCGGGTCAGACGCTGCCATCTCCGACATCTCCTTCTCTCTCTTCTCTTCTTCTTCTCTGTTTGTTCTGAACGTGATTAGAGCGAATTAGGGTTTCTGATATTTTTCTTCTTTTTTATTTTTTATTTTTTTTTGTGAATTTTCCCTTGTTTCAGACAGCGATCGAGAGACACGGCCAGATGGGCGACCCCTTGACGGAGGAGGAGAAAGGGGTCACCACCGGTTAAGAGAGAGAAAAAAGAATAGGAGGAAGAAGGAGAGAGATACAGAGACAGAGACAGAGAGAGAGAGTGTGGAATTTATTTGAATTCTGGGTATTGCTATGGTGGAAAATGCGAAATTTGACCCAGAAATCCTACGGTTCACATTGAGCGACTATTACTTGTGGGACCCGTTGAAGCATCGATGGTGTTGCACCATGGACGTTTGTGGCAGTTAGTCATCCAGGTTCCGGCTTCTACGGTATGTCATTCAGTTCAGCCACTCGAGCACTAATAAAATGGAAATGCTGTCTCTCCCTTGCTCGGAATCGGAAATTTGGACTTTGGAATTTGGAATAGAGGGTGATCATTCTTTCCCGGCCCAGCCCGTAAATTTATGGGCTTGGGCTTAGGTTTTTGTCCTCAAGTCCGATTAGGGCCAAGTCAGTATTAAGCCCGGAAATTAGTAGCCTATGTACCCTTTGATATGCTGTCAGAATTGGAATTGAAATCGAAAATCCCTAGAGCTAGAATTGGCTTTAAATGGATCTTTAAAATTTGGAACTTCCAATTGCCCTACAAAGTTGAGAGTTTTTCCTTTTATCTCCCTCTTATTAAAAAAAGATCCCACTGAAAATTCACCTTAGAAAAAAAAATGATGTCTTAATCATCTCGATGAAATTGTAGTTTTTGTGGAGAGGACAACCTATAGCATATTTATATCTATACTACTATTAAAAGTGTGAATGAGGTCTAGATTTTGGAATATTTTTACTAAAATATCTTTGTTTTTTTTTAACTTGGTCTCCCTATATTATGAGGGCAAAAAACATAATTTGAACTACTACTTTATTAAATGCAATATATTCTTCATCATTAAATCCTATATTTAAGGTATTAATTCTCATTTCATTTCATTAAATCTTATATTTAAGGCACACTAAATAAATGAACTTTGTGGGTTTTTCTTGACTAAAACACCCTATTTATAAATTTAGTCCCATGTGACAAAAAATGTAATTTAAAGTATATTACTTTCCACTTCATTAAATTCCCACTATTAAGGTATTAACTCTCATTCTCTCTCCTTATACATTTATTTAAATTATTTTTGTTTCTTATCGATAAACTTGAAAAATTAAATCTATATTCAATATTTTTAATAATGTAAAATACATGTTCAAAACCAGCATGAAAAATAACTAAATAAACCACCTTTATGTCTAAGTGGCAAGTAAATATCCACATCAAAATAGGTTAACCAATGCTCTCATAGTTAAAAAAATTAAAAGTAGATACAAATATAAAATTACAAAAAATATAAAAATAAGTTATGAAAGACGTAGGTGCATCTCTAATATTATCTATTTATCATATCAAACAACAATAATTTTATTCATTGAAAATGAAATACAATATTTAAAATTAATCCAAAAACAAAGCTATTTTCCTATTCAAGTGGTAGGTCAATGGTTCAACCTTTTAAGTTAAATGGATCAACCCATTATACCATAAATAAACAATAAAAATTTTAAAAAAGATAGAGACATGAAAATTATTAAAAACATAGAAAAATTACAAAAGAAAACGTGGGTGCATCTCTAATGTTATGTATCCCTCATATTAAATAAAAATAAGTGTGGTATATAAGAGTTATTTTTATTAAGAAATATAGTTAAAAAAATAAACTAATATAAAAAACTATTTTTGCATTTAATTGATGGTCAATGGTCCATAGGGAGGCAAATTAGGTGGGCTTAACCCATGCCCAAATTGACCCATCTCGTAATTTTAAACAGGCTAGATTTGATTCTCAGTTTTCTACTTGAGCCTAGGCCTAGGCTCAAAAGTTTGGGTTTTTTTATTTTTCGGGTTGGGTTTCAGATTGGGCCCAAGCTTAGCCTTTAGGTAGCTAAAGTCGAACTTAATTATATACATACAATCATAAATGCATATATAACACATATTTGCATACATGCATGTGTATGCAATTATACACATACATTTTATGTCAAGTTTTGATATGTGGCTAATTGACAAAACCAAGTCCAAGCTAAGACTAACCCAAGTGCATCAAAATTCAATTCAGGTTGGACCCAAGTTGGATAGATCTTGACTTGCACCATAATGGTCCAATTGTTTGGGTAATGGGTTAACCAATGATATCACAACTAAATAATAACATTAAAAAAAGATAGAAACACTAAAAAGAAACATAAAATTTATAGAAAATTTTGGCATATCTAAGATATTATAAACTTGTCATATCAAACAAAAATAAGTGTGATGAACAATAATTATTTTTAGAATTAATTATGTAAGTGGAATAAAAAAAATTTAAAGTTGCCTAAAAAATGATATTACTTTTTTCCAAGTCAAATATGACAGCACATGATGTCATAATTATATACTAACAAATAAAAAATGATATATATATATATAACACGAAAAAAAAGTCTATAAAATTTGTGCACATCTCTAATATTATATATTTATCATATTAAACAAAAATAAATATGATTAATAAGAAGTATTTTTATTAACAATGAAAATAAAATATAAAATCTAAATCCACCATCACACCAATTATTTATCATTTTTAAATGATTCTATTAATGTTATCTTAAATTGTTGTTTCATGTGCATATTTACTAGTTTTTAAATTTGTGTTATAACTAAACAAATCTGCCTTGCGATAAATCTCGTTATTGAGGGACAAATGTTTTGGACTCCTCGTTAAATAAGTTGTGGTCTAGAGTTTGTAACAAAGCTATGATCGAAGGGGATAACAAAAAGGAAAAGTGTGTATACATTTTATGGAATGTTTTGAACAATAAAAATCATGAAACATTCAACAAATGTCACTACCCCCCCCCCCCCAATAGTTTTGGATATGACTCTTAAGAATTAAAAAACATTGAGATGAGTAACAATACTAGTCTTCAAGTAAAGTTTGGAAGCATATCTAGTGGCAATACCCTAAATTTGGAACAATAAAAATTATGAAAAAGTACGGACATGCCCATTGCAGATTTTCTGAATTCTACTGCAGACCTATAAACATTCAAAATGTCAAATACCCCCACTCTATACACCAATGTCCGCCCATGAATTGGCATCAATTCCAAGCTAGCACCTACCCCAACTGTACTTTGGGCCTAAAAATTCTGACCCTAGGCTGAACCGTCATTCTCCCTAAAAATTAATTTTGATGCTTCTTGTTCTAGCAATGGTATATGCTTTGTGGCAACTATTGTGAGAAATTAATTATCTTGGTGAAGTATTGGACTGTAAAGCTTACAACTTAGGCTCTTCCACCATTAATATGGCTGAAGCTTGGGTCACTTGGGAGGCCCACAGCCTAATAATTAACTTCAAAGATCATTCCATTGTCATTAAGAGTGATTTAAAGTTTGTAATTTCTTGCCTTAAACATCAAATTCACCCTCCTTGGAGACTAAGGTTGTGTTTGGTTTGAAGGAAAAAGTAGGAAAAGGAAGGGAAAGGTAAGGAAATCTTTACAAATCTTGTATAGATTCCCTTGCATTTCCAATCCTTTCCCTACCTTTTCCTTCAAACCAAACATAGCCTAAAGAATATCATTCTGGATTGCCTAGAGATAAAGGATCGGTTTCATGAATGTGAATGTTACAATCATGTGAGTTGTGAGGCCATCTACTAGTAAAGGATTTGTATTTCTTAATCTTTGTAATCTCCCTTGGTCTTTAGTTTTTTTTTTTTTTTTTGGGGACTTTCTTCCCCCCCCCCCCCAACCCACCCATAATGTGTAGCCACTCTTGGATTTATAAAAAAAAAAAATCAAAATTGTCTATCCCTACCTATTTGGTTCACATGGGATCCAAAATGAGATTCCAATTGATGTTGTTTGGCTCATCTATAAGCCAATATCAAAATCAATGAGATGATTGAGAGTTACTTACCTCACCAAAGTTTGTTGAAAGAGGGGGTGCCAACAAAGATGAAGGGAGGGAGGGTTGGCGTCAAATAAAGAGAAAGAAATAGGATTTTGAGGGGTTTAAGTCACTTGTCTTTTTTGGGTAAATTGTATATTAGTATCATGTACTTTAAATGCAATCTCACTTTAGTACCTAAACTTTGAAAAGTGCAAGAAAAAGAAAAAAAAAACATTGAAAAGTGTCATGCAATGTTGAAAATTCTAAAAAGTGCCAGAACAATGTTTTCTTTCGAATGGTAACTTTGGAGATAGTTTAGCATCCTCATGACTTGGTTCAATACCAAGAAATAGAGACTTCACATAGCCTTTTGCTTCACTCATTGTTGCTTTGGTTTAGTCTTGAGGAAGAATAGGATGAACAATGCCTTATTCCAAAGGATAATGACATCACATGCATCAGATAATTGACGGAATGATGATGGATGGACTAAAGTTGCACTTTTCGGAAGTTTATGTACTACAATGGCACTTTTTAAAGCTTAGTTACTAAAGTGAGACCACCCCTGAAATACAAGGTACTAATATGCAATTTGCCCTTTGTTGGATCTACTAGAATGAGATTCTCATCTCCAAGGGGGGAAACATAAAATGGCAATTCCCTCAAGTGGAGGAATGTCATTTCACTCGGAATGGGAATTGGAATCCCATTCCGCCCAATCAATTGACTAGAATTTGTATGGGATTCTTATTTAGATTCTAGACTCCTATTCCCATAAATTGTAATTGTATATAACTAAATACTCAAATTACCATGTCATACATGCTTGAATGATTCAATGTGAGGACACTTTATAAGCTCATATTTTTAAAAGCACCCAAAATGATGAATTCAGTTGATTGGGAGGCAAATTTGGAGTTTTTTTTTTTTTTTGTTAAACAACTTTATTCTAACCAATGGTGGACTAGGAGAATTGTTGTCTCATAAGAGGTTTTGAGGTGTATTAAGAAAATATGGAAACTTAGGGGCTGTTTGATAACAACAGAATATGTTGAATTGAAAACCTTATTGTTTTGTCTTTTAGTGAAAAAAGTTTTCAAGGAGGTTGTGGTCGTATTAATGTTTGGAACTAAAGTTGCCTAGATCACTATTTCTATTCACAATTTCAACCATTATCAAATGGTCCCTTAAAAATTCCCTTGAAGTTTAAGCTTTTTCATTGGAAGGGCTTTGTTGGAATTTTGTGGAAACTAAAGATGCTCTAGGGAAAGGATATTTAATGTAAATAGTGATTGTGTTTTTTAAGGCTTACGGTGAAGAGTTCAGATTTCTTCATCACCAAAGAGCTGTTTGGCAAGTCTTTTTCGAAAGATCTTCCAATAGCTCAGATGGCCAAAAGGAGTAATGAGCTTTTTAGGTCATGTCTTCAAATATTTAGACAATTTGGTAAGTATCCTAGTTTACTGTATCTTAGCTCAAAAGGCTAAGAAGGTGTTGGGCATCTCTTTTGGGTTATAAGAATCTTGGAAGACCACAAAATAGTTTTTTCATTTGGTGTCTTACAAAACCAAAAGCTTAAGACAAGTACATGAAAAGATGAAATAGCCAAAGATCAGGAAGCTTCAAATGAAGCTTTTGGTCTGTTCACACTTAAAATTGAAGGGATGAGAAATCCATCGTATAGGCGCCCAAACTATGCGGAATAAAGGGGGTGAAAGTCAAAAATTTTTCTCTCCCTTCAATTGGGAATTACATTCCCTATTTAGAAAATCATATTTTCAATGATCAATCTTGAACCATAARCTGAACCRGATCTGAACCAAAAGRAGTAGGAGAGAGGTATACCTGATACAGAGAAATATTATCTCTCAATGAAGGTGTTTACGCCCAAGGAAGGATCCAAAGACTGCTCCCACTGAAAATGACGCAGTGCAGGATGGAGCAGAATCAGCAGTGTTCTTCTCCAAGAACCTTGTCCTTCGCAAGAAACAGCAAGATGGCACGTGAGCACAACTTCCTATCAGTCCTTTCACAAAGAACTGATATCAAAATCAAATCTTGACTTCTCCCACAACTGGAGATCGAACTGGCAAGGCAGGCGGCAAGAAAGAATTTTGCAGGGTTGCTTTATTCTTTCTTTTGTGATTTCAGCTTTGAAGAGGATGTGAGTATGTGTCTTCTAAAGGCTGCCGCCCCTTCCTTCTTTTGTAACCCTAAAGGATCAGCTCCTAATCCAATTAGGAGTTGCTGATCCAAATCATATTTGGATCAGACATCCCTTTAGGTGATAAGGATAAACCCTTATCTAATCTGCAGATTAGATTAGCCTTCTCCTAATCTCATTAGGAGGTTTCTAGATCTGAATCATATTCAGATATGGACTCTCTGAGTGGATAGGGTTAAGACCCTATCCTATATGCTAATCCATCTCATAATTCGTCCCATATTTAACTCATTAAATTAGTCCAATTCGAAATGGGCTTTAGGCCCATTAAGCTTATGTGCTCACTTAGCCATCCTAACTGCTGCCCAGTTGGGCTTCCTTGTATGCCGTGGGACTCCAACATTGATCTACACATCAGCCACATGGGTTCGACCCAGCCTTTGTTACAAGGCCTGGCCGAATACACTGCTAAGGACAGTGCACCCCCCGAAACCCATCAMATGGGCTCTATGGGCCCAACACTTACCCTAAGTGGTC